CTAGATTCCAAGACAAATGTAGAAAACTAACAACAGGAACATGTCTGTTCATTGTAGTGAACCTGATCTGACCCTGATCTGACCCCGATGACCTCAAATCTATCAGATGGACAGAGACTGTTATTTCATTGATCTGAATACAGTCTGAGCCATCTGGAGACTTTCTTTCTTGAAGATTCAAGTGAAAAGAACACTCTCTTTTTATAATCATCACTGTTTTACAAATGTTTGATAATCAAATTGTGTTAGTTCACTCAATGTTACAGGTTGAAGAGAACTACTCATTTTTATTTTACATAAACAGTAAGTAATGATTTTTATTCCTCATTTAAAGAAGAAATCAGGTTAATATGCATTTCTTGATTTTCTGTCTGAAATGAGCCAAGTTTTGTAAGTATGTTAAAGGTCGGTTTCGGTCAACTAAAATGTTTACCGAGGAAAAATGTCATGTTTAAACTTTTTCAGAAGATAATAAGAGGGAGACGCCACGAAGTCTGGTTTTTCTGCAATTATCTTTCTGTTAGTTGTTGAACAATCTCATTCTCTGGCCTTGGCCTATCATAACATCTTACATCACAAAACCACACCTTTTCCTGGTCCATAGACCAATCAAAAGCTCTCAAATGACCCGGAAGTCGACCCATTTTAAAATGTGGCAACTTCCCAGTTCACTAAGAGTTGCAGGAGTTGCAAGAGTCTGGGAGTGATAGAGAGTAAGAGTCTCAGAGTGATGGAGGTTCTGAAGAAGTTCTAGAGTCTGAAAACTCTGATGTCTGATGGGGAAAACTCTGATGTCTGAAGCCCAGAGTGCTTCCGTTGGAATACAGAATGCAGTGACGATGTTGGGATTATAATTTCTGTTTGAACACCACGTACGACTCTCTGAGGGTTTGGCAGTTCTCACGGAGACGCTGAAAGAGTCAGAAAGGAACCTACTCCGACGCTGATTCCATCGTCAACCAGGTAGAGGGTTCTATTTTCGACTAAGTGTACCGGAGGCCAGCTGATATCTGATGGAGCGTACACGTTTTCTGGTCAAACAGATTAATTCCCTCACAAATCTCTCTGTAAGATAAATATCCATCTCCATCTTAAACTCTGCTTTCTCATAAAATCAGTACAGATATTTTAGAAATATCTGAAGCAAAGTCCTCAATCACCGCCGCGTGATTGAAGCTCATTATTTGTGAAACTTGTCTGTTATTATTTTCATATTTTGCCAAATTAATGTAAATGTTTGATGTTAAACTTTGATTCTGAAAATAAATGACCGCATTCATTTGATGGGTCAAAGATAATAACGTCTCTCGTTCGCATTTCTGTTAAAATTCAATGCACGACATTACACAGTCAGAAAGATGAGGAACTCGTGAAAAGTATGCATATATATTTCCT